CAACGGATCTCGGTAAAAACGGCGGCGGCGGAATAGAAACATCTTTCATATGCGTCATTCATGCGTTAATGAAAAATTGCAATTTATTGCAATTTTATCTCTATAAAATCGCGTTCGATAATATCGCGATTTTGTTGCAATTTATCGCGATTTTTCTCCCGATAATATTGCAATAAATCGCGACGTCGATAAAATCGCGATACATTCTCCAATTAAATCGCAATTTATCGCGATCACTGCTACTTGGGTAGGTAACTTAAAAGTCAAGTGAATGCATAAATGATATTCATCTAATGAAAGCCAAACATTTTTATTTTCATGTAGGGTTTCAGCTATATGTCCTTCCTAGGCTCTGTTGTTATAGGAAGCATTTTAGTTGGGCTTCCAAGAAATTATTTAGAAAACAAGACAGCCAGCCTCTGCTATCCGTACTATTTGTTAAGTATGGGCTCAAAAAGATAAGAAAAAAGAAGAAAGCAAAATGGACTGTAAATAAAATGTTGTGTATAAGTTACACATTGATCTTAAAATAAAGTGTGTCAAAGAGTTCTCCTAAGATTTTCTTTCAGGTCTGTCAGGCCTTCAGATCTGTCTAAAAAATTTTGAAACGTAATCACATTTATCACATTTTCTGGGCATTTAAGTACTACATATTCTAAGCAAGTTGAAAAACAGCTGAATCTTTCGATTTTTGGGTTAAATTTTACCATTAGTCATCTGCTGAAGTTCACCTTTGGATCATTTTTTTTTTTTCACTCACTATTTCTCGCATAATTTAGAATTAGTCCAAAACCTCTAGAATATTGTCGTGTTAAAACCCTTGTATTTATCAGCCCAAGCATGCATAGATCACTTCATATATTATTTTAAACCACTTATAGATTCAAATGAAAAGGCACCAAACAAATTCCAGAGAACAGGTTTTACCATGCCTTTTTATCAAAATTCTTCCTGGGACATCATCACCTCAAACTCTAACAAATCGAAAGTTAATGGTGTCAAGTAATTTTCGGTTGCTTTCAAGCTTTTAAATGTAATTTGCATAATCTAGGTTGTTTATTTCCAATTTTTTCCCCTGTATCTAGAAAATAAATTTTTTACTTTTGATTTTTTTCCCTCTTAGAACGCAGTAACACCTCTAGCTCTGTGTTTAAGCCGATATCATCAGCAATAGTAGGCCCAACGGAGAAACTTAACAACATCACAAATAATAGTGTTAGTAGCTCCAGCGCTGTTGATAAAGCTGCTGTTGAACCAAGCTCTGCAGATAAAGCTGTTCAAGAACTTGTTGATAAAGCTGCGTCAGAACCAGTTGACAAAGCTCCTCCAGAAGTAGTGGACAAGGTTGTACAAGAATTACCTCGTCCTGCTCAGGTATCTATTATTGATTTATACAATTGGTTGATGACTAACTAAGTATCTTTATGGCAGCACTTGAAAATTTCTATACATACTTTAAACAATTCAGTATTATAATTTGAAATTTCAAAATTTTTCTTTCACTATTTTACTTTTCCATGGTCATTCTGTAAACATGTTAGGCCAAAATGCCCATTTACTTTTCTCCCTAAAATATTAAATGGGCATACCAACTCTATCAAATTGGCTTTAGGTTTTTTTTCTCCATGATAATCATTATCAAAGAGAAAGTTCAACTCCCTATTTAACCTCTTTACCTTTGAATTTTTGATAGGAGAAAATGCAGTACTAGTTAAGCACAAAACCGCTCCCGCCTGATTAATTTTCTTCTTTTTTTTTTTTTTTTTTAAAAAAAAAAAGAAGGATAGCTTGGTACTTTTCTGCCTAGCTTTCAATCCAATTATTAAGTGATCTTGAACCTGAGAAGTATGCTCTGGAGATTAGTAATGGCAGTAAGTTTCAGCACCGTCTGAGAAAACTTCCTTTGAAAAGCATATTTTTTGAAAATTTACTTTTTCAAATTGGCATGTGGAATTGCGTCCCAAAGGTTTGCAAATACAGGTTGCACAGGTGCACAAGGTTGTGTTAATACAGAGAGATTAAAAAATCAAAATCAAATTAAAATGCATTTATCAAATAGCTTAGAGTAATGGTGGTAGTTTGGCTAAGATGTGTCTTATTGTTAGTCTGAGTAAAGCATAGAGTACAATAGAGTCGCAAAGTACTGGATCGCCGATGAAGTCACTTTTCGAGGCTGTTTTGTCCATTTCTCTGGAGACTAGTGTGCGGCGACTAGCGATGACGCATACGCAGAGACTTGCGCTCAGCGCTCCCCACTCCCGACTCGGCTCCGTTCGTCGGCTAGGTCCACACACATTGAACCAGCTAAGTAGGCCGGTAGTAAGTCTGAAATTGAGTCCATACATGAATATTATCCAGGAGTAACATACATTAATGGATTCATTATGGCTTTGAATATCTAATTATAGCAAAATTTGCAAAAATTAATATAGATGGAATTAATAAAAGTCGAAAAAACACAAGCAGTTGTTGATTTCTCCATAAGCCACCGTGTTAAAAATGCCGGTTGGTTCACACTGTGTATAAGTCAGAAATTAAATCCCTGTATGAATAAAATCCAGGAGTAACATACATGAATGGATTCATTATGGCTTTGACCATCTATTTTAAGCAAAATTTGCACAAATTTATATCGATTGACTTAAAAAATGTCGAAAAAACACAAGCATTTGTTGCTCTTCCTGTAAGCAGCCTGATAAGAAATGCTGGTCGGTTCACACTTGGTTTAAGTCTCAATTTACGTCCCTTTTGGAATATTATTCAAGAGTATGATACATTAATGGATTCACTATGGCTTTAACTACCTGTTTGCAGCAAAATTTGCAAAAATTAATGATGATTGAATTAAAAATGTCGAAAAAACACAAGCAGTTCTTGATTTCTCCATAAGCCACAATGGTGATAAGTGCCGTTGGGTTCACACTTTTCGGAGCACAAGCGGCTCGGAAAGGCCCGTTAATGGATTGACTTCATCCGCGCTCCAGTACATTGCGACTCTATTGTACTCTATGGAGTAAAGAGAGTATGTCAAGGATTGGAGGAGATGCTTCTATTTTATATTGCAGTTATATTTTTCGCAAAGAGCAGAAATAGTAGAGGAGTAAATTTTGTTGACTAAAAATCGAGCTACATTTATGAAAAAAATAAAATAATATTTTCTTCTGTGGGACAGTGGAAAAGAGAACGTTCAAAAATGAGGAAAGTGAACTTGTATTTCATTAAGTGCCTATACAATATTTGGAACATAAGCATTTCAGCAAACGCAATCATTTGAATTCAATTAATTTATTTTTCGCTCAGTTTTCTAATTCAGATTAATCTGATACTGAGTCTGCACATTAGCTCATTTGAACCCAAGAAATTCATCACCCTTCAAACACCTGAAAATTTTCCATTCTGTGTAAATCCTCTATTACCGTGTCTAAGTTCTCACGTAAGAAATTTTTCTGCAGGTTGTGCAAGTCATTCCACCGAGGAAGGCCAACTCAGATGGAGGGAAAAATCTTGCGAAAGGTGTCTTGACAAGCCGTCTGTACGATGCTGGACATGACATCCCAAACATAGAGCTGTGTCCTGACTTAGGTGCCTCTTTACAATTTTTAGTTTTAATTATGTCTGCTCCCACACATGCTGAAGCCCGAATGGCCATCAGGCAGACTTGGGGTCACTACGCTCAGCGGAAAGACATTGGGATGAGTTTTGTTTTAGGCCGGGCAAAAACGCCCGAGCTAACTTCTTCCATACAGTCGGAGTCTGATTTGTATGGGGATATCATCGGGTCTAGGTTCATGGACTCGTATGACAATCTCACTCTTAAAACCACCTCTATGATGGAATGGGTAGATAGCTACTGTCCAAAAGTGAAATTCATTTTGAAGACTGATGATGATATGTTCATAAACATTCCTAAATTAATTAGTTTTGTCGAAGCACGGAGTAAATTCAAGCGAACAATTTTTGGGAGGTTAGCAAAGAAATGGCGACCCATAAGAAAAGTATCGAGTAAATATTATGTATCCACGCAGCAGTATGCACCTCCCGTCTTCCCAGACTTCACAACAGGGCCAGCATATTTATTAACGGGTGATATTGTTCATGAATTGTATGTGAAAGCTTTAAATATGACATATCTTAAATTAGAGGACGTTTTCACCACAGGCGTTGTTGCTCAAGCGATCAAAGTGAAACGAGTCCATGCAAATGAGTTCCTCAACAAAAGAATAGCATTTAGTATGTGTAACTTAAAAAAGTCTATTAGTATACATATGGTCAAGTATCATGAGCAATTCGATTTGTGGAAGAAGCTTCTTGATGGCCGCCAGAAGTGTGGATGAGTCACACAGAGAATAGCCAACAAGAATATCAAACGATCAACATGAGGTCATGATGTGTGTTGTGTAGCCACTTTTAACGGCACCATTTCATGTCCCATTCCTTTTATTGTCTGTGATTTTGTTTCGGGCGTAACCCGTGTCTCTTTGGGTATCGATTTTCTTAAGTGGGCTGCTCCGAAGGGACGGAGTAAAAAATACACCCAAATTCTACCAAATTGAATCTCTTTAAGGCAAGGGTGTGCCTTTCTTTAATCCTAATTTGTAAATCACCTCTCAGAAGTTCATTCAGATGTAAATTTTCTTAAATTTCAATCTTAACAGGTTGGTCATCACTCATTGTTATCAAGCACATATCTGTACTTTCAGATTGGTTAAAAGATACAAGAGGCATACATAACGTTCTCTACTAGTAGATGAGGAACTATTAAAGCACCACAACAAGAGTCTGCTCATCAAAATCTCTGATTCTTAGTGTACTTTCTGATACACCATACAGTAATTATCTACTAGTGTTGTCCCTTGGTTTTCCATCTTCCAGAAGTAAAGAAAATTCTGTCCCAGAAAAACCAGGATTTTCATCAAATTTAAATCATTCAAGTTATAATAATATGCATTTGAAAGGTATGAAATTTGTAAACGACAAACAATGAACAACAAAAAAGTTGCACCCTTGCCTTGAATGCTCTTCTTTTCTTTCCAAGAGACTTAGTGTATAAATTATGTTTTAAGATTTATGATTTACAAGTAGGTTTCGTCAATGAAAGTTTTAGGTCTGATAACGTGTATTTGAAGAATATTTAGGATTTATACAATTTTAAAGGCTGATTCAAAATTAGCCTCTGTTTCTATTTGAAGCGGTCATTTGGGTGCTAAATTAAGGGAGATCGAACAAAGTTTAGTTGAACTTTTAATTCAAAGGTGTGTAGGCTTTTTTGTTTTTTTAAATAATTTTGCCATTTTAAAAAATTGAATCTTTTCTTTTTGGTATTGTTTGGCGGGTAAGTGAATTTTTTTTGCACAAAAAACATACCGTTGCACGAAGCACAAAAAAAAGACATTCGTATATTTATCTTATATTTTAGCTCTGGAATTGGTTGCAGAACTCTCGTAAGTTTGATTGTTGACTCAACCTCTGATTGTTCCTATGAATAAGTTAGTTTATGCAAAGAATCATATCTATAAAATTGAAGAATGATTTCTCCAAGGTTTAAGCTTCAGTTCTGTAGTCCATATTGAATGACTGCTATGAATGATGAAATGAATTATTGGTATGATCCAGTATTATACAAAAAGATCTTGATCTTATTACATTATGGGAAACGTGCAATATATTATATCAACAAACTAAGAAAATCTAATATTTGATAACTCTTTAAATTTAGTTCTAACATTATTATCGCATAATAACTGTTTTTAGATAATTTTTTTTTTTTTTTTTTTTTTTCTGGCCTTTATATTTAAAATAAAGAAAGAATATTAGATTTGCTTGTCATGAAGGTAATCAGTTAGATTTAGTTTCTATTACGTTCATACAGCAACTGCAACTCAAATTAAAGAGCACTCAAAATTTGAAGGTCATTCCTTATAAATATTGAAATTGTGAGATTGTAAAATAAGAATAGCAATGCTTTCTATGAAATGTAAAGTGTGCTCTGCAAGTATGCGTTTCCTGTGGATGCCACCTTATTTATTTAAATGATCAAAGTATAATTAAAAAATCACAAGTAAAAAGCACAGAGTACAATAGAGTCGCAATGTACTGGAGCGCTGATGAAGTCAATCCATGAATGGGCCATCAACCTCTTGTTCGACGGAAAGTGGGAACCATCTGGGAACCGTTCGGCATTTTTTAACCTGAGTGGTTTTTGGGATTTATTCATTTGAATCAATCATTATTTCGGCGAATTTTGGCAAATTGTGTTCACCGAAGACACAAAAAATTCAAAAATGTACAATGGTTTTTATGAAATAAATTTTATACCTGTAATTTCTGAGGGAAGACTGGAGCTGGGACCCGCATACGGCATTGCCAGTCGCCGCACACTAGTCTCAGGAGTACTGGACAAAACAGCCTCAAAAAGTGACTTCTTCGGCGCTCCAGAACATTGCGACTCTATTGTACTCTATGGTAAAAAAGTACCAATTTGGTATTTTTTTAAAGGTTTGTAAAGAGCCACAAGTTGTTAACCCTCTGTGTTTTGTAGATGATGATGAACGGTATAAGAACTATAAGTTGCCTAATCCTACGTTCCGCCAGTGGTGAGTCTCGAACCTCACCAGGAGCAGAATTTAAATTAAGACAAATATTTTTAGGAAGTCTGTGGTTTCCATGGTTTCTTCTGGGACTTAATTGTTTTCGGGTTTTTTTTTTCCAAATTCAGTAGGATGTGTCTAGATTAAACCCTAGGCATCTTTCAAGTGAGCTTCAATGAAAATTTCAGCCTTGTACCCTTTTATTTCAAAAAATCCCTTGCTCAGGTTATTTTCAGGTTTGGAGGCTAGGATGAAAAAAACCCACCCCCTGCCTGCTTATTGAAGTGACTGAAAAATATCATCGTCCTCTTTTATTCATCACCAGTGATATTGGCCTGTCACTCAATACTTTTTCAAACTATTTCATCTGAAGTAAATCAAGTAAAGTGAAATTTCTCAGTAGAAATATAACAGCTCAAGCTTAACTTTTAATGATAATGATGAAAGTGTGAAATATAGGCATTAAATGTAGACAACGAATGATTCTCTGGTAAAAATCAGCAATAATGGACCATTTGATTTGTCCAGTTCCTCAAGTGTCCTTTTTTTCTAGGGTTAATGGCTTGTTCATAGGGGCACCATCATGCAGCTTCTGAAAGAATTTACGTCGAAGAATGTTTCTAATATTAAATTTTGCAAGAGATTCTTTTCCATTCTGATAGGTCTAAAATCAAATGAAATGTGTTATGCATGTTACTTGTTATGATTACTTCTTTCCCTAAAATTTTTTTTACAAGTCGCATCTAGAGGTGTACCTTTTTCAAGAAGTAATCTTATCATTCTTTTTACTTTACAACTTGCAATAAATTTCATTAATTTCTGTTCAATTCGCTCAAATGATAGCAAATCAAACGAAGGAAGAAACGGGTCCATGATTGTTGTAGAATTTCACTTTTATTCTGAATTTTTGACGTTTCATCAGCGCCCTAGAATCGGTGCTTTCTTTCAATATATTTACTATTACCAGACTCTGTAGCTTTTAGTATTTCACACGTCAATGGTGAAACTCCCAAATGACGTATCTTGGTTTGAGACGTTGCAAACTGCCTGTCATACTTTACAGCAGCTTGTCTTTTTTTTTCTTTCTCTCTTTCTGCATGTTCACTTTGAACAAGATTCAAGCTTACCTGAGAAGTATTACGGATTGTATATCTGACTAATTGTAAGTATGTTCCTCATTTTTAAAGAACAAACAGCTCAATATTCAGCGATCAACCTGCACTTGTTGTTCTCATTATATGTAGAAGAACCCCTTAGTTTGAGATCTGAAACAAGTAGGTAAAATTAGAGAAGCTGGATTAAATTATCTGAAGACATGATTTTTTCCTAAATAATCACCATAATCACGATCATTCAAGCGCTGTTTGTTTTTAATTACACATTCAGCTCTGAGCTCTCCCGATCAATTTGAAAGTAATCTCAACCACAATCTCAATTATTTTAAGTATCTTGATTACTTCATATTTTTATTTTTGTGCTCTTATTATCAATCAGTATTTGAAAAATTTTGAGGGAGGCATCTGATTTTAGTTCTATCTCTGATAAACTCAGAAATCTGATTTTCCTAGCTCCAATTTGGAAGGCTCCCCCAAATTTTGCTACGTTTAAAAATGTTCAATCACTCACAAGCTTAGTTTAGCCTGATAGTTAATTATTTTAAAATACCGGACTAAGTTTCACAACAAAGGAGCTGTAAGTGTTGCAGTAAGTACCTACATCCAAAGCCAGTTTGATAGGTTCAAGTTGAAAATCGGAATTCAAAAGATCAATTGAGACGGATTCAGTTGCAAGGAGCACTTAATTGCCTAATTTTCTCTGAAGCTCCATTTTTCAAACAGAAAACTAAGCGACACTGAAATTCAAAATCCTCCACAATTTAGGATAAATTCACTGAAAGTTTAAAGGCCTTACATAGTTTAGTTCTCTGTTAAAAAGAAAAAAAAACTTGAGAAAAATTAGACAACGTGAAAGGCAGTTAGGCTAACTCCGAACTCATACATGATTTTATTAATGATAAATTTGAAGTTACGCGTTAAATTATACCCTGAAGAGGGAAGGGGCTAGACCCTCCAAAAGTTGTGAGTTTTTACTTTCGATTCCGATTTTATTTAAAATTGAAGTGAGTCTTATATACTCTAGAAACCATTGTACACAGTGAAAAATGCTGAATTCACTTTGAATTCATGATAAAATGAAAAATTCTCTCATGCTTTGATACTGTATCAAGAGTATTTATTGGTAACGGTATAATTTTAATCAAAGTCTCATCGTATCAAATTAGTTACCTGTCTGTTTTTTTAGTTACTTAATATTTACTTAAAGAGATCAAAAGTCATGGCAGACTGACAAGATGCTTTATTGTGTGACATGGTGTGTATGAGTAGAATAATTAGCATTATTGCAAATTTAATCTGTAAAGGAGGTACTTTTTAGTTACTTAACTCTCCCATGTTTGATTCATAAAACCATTATAATTATCAGCTATACTATTTCTTTTATACTAAAGTTCTTCTCCACGCACAAGTTATGACTTCAACCTCATAAATTACCTTGACTTGCGCAGCTGGCCATTACAAACGCCAGCTTCAATTTGTGCTTGGAGAAAAACCTCTAGTTTGAGCACGCACTCCACAAACAAATTAATGAACAAATAATGAGAGAAGTCACCTTTTTAATTTAAATTTGTATTAAAACCTGAGTCTCTCTTCTATCATAATCATGTATGGTTTTGTTACTTTGTTAATTTACGCAGTACAAACTTTTACAGGATCCAGTGCTAACATCTCAATTGATTAAGAATTCTAGTTTCTACTTAATTGTATGCAACTATATTTTATAAGGTATGTGCAGGGCGTTTTGAGAAAAACCTTATAGCCACACAATTCTTTCCTCTTTCACATAAGGTTTTCAATGAGTAGATAGAGGCTTAAAAAATTTCGAAATTTCACAAACAAGATGGAATTAGAAGCACAGCTTTGTTTTTTATGGGTTTGGATTTATCTCTCTTTAAGTATTGACTCAGTTTTTGTGGATCATTGAATAATCTGTATTTCGCTTAGTTAAGACAAATATTGCCATTTACTGTTCTATAATAGCCTTTGTTTAATCTATCTATTTATTTATTTATTTTATTTATTATCTATTCTCTGTTTTAAAACTGTAATTCACACCATGAATTGGAAAAACTCATGTATAATGCAGCACTCCTCTTGGAAATTATTGAATGGTGAAAGCTGCAAAAAATTTTGAATTTACATGTTTTTATCTTTATCTGGACTTATTCTTATGTAGAGCAATTTTTATTTAGAGTTCAATCGTTCTCAGAGCTCGTAATCATATTAATTTTCTGTGCATAATAAAATCAAAACAATTCTAAAGCATTGGTATGTTTTATGAAGTTGCAAGTTTTTTGTGTCCAGATTGATAATAATAATAATAATAATAATAAAAAAACCTTCCTAATTTGCATAAAAAATGTTACAATTTAAGTGAATTGTCTGCATAAAAGCAATTTTATTCTCAAAGAAATAAGTTCAAATGCAATCAATTTTAAAAAAATGTTTATCCATTTACCAGAGGCTATCATGTTCGAAAATTTAGTTAATTCACTGTAAGACATTTTTATAATTTAGTGTCACAATATCTATATTCAAATAAGTTTCAAAGGAAAAAGACAAAATATGATTTCCATGAAGACATTGTCAGGTCCTCTATGACTGAATAAAGCTGTCAGGGTCTAACCAAAATTTACGGAGTAGGTTAGAGTGAGAATTTGGTAAGGTAACAAGTAGAAAATTCAAATAATTTTCTCCGTTTGAAGTAATTAATTTATAGCATTGTGTCTGAATGTGCAACTTGATCTGTTCAAAACAATCAAGTAAGTTTTGAATTGATTTTGTTATTTTTTATAGTATTTACTAATGTTATTTTTATATTGATTTTGTAAAATTTATGTAAATATGTATGATATCTACTCTAGTTCAGGCATGTACACAAACTGTAAGTAAATCGAAACCTGAATAAATTACTGTGAAAACAGAGAGAACTTTTACCAATTACAATCAAGTTTTGTCATTTTATTCCTGGGATGGTTTTAGCGTCATAAAATCTACATTCCAACTTCGTCAGTGCGACAGGAGCATTTCCATGAAGTCTCAAGTGCGGCAATATTGCAGCAAGACGTCTTAGGGTGATAGAACCCTAGCCTTAAATGCTGCAGGAACATTGAGCTTAGGTACTTTACTTATGTCTCTATCACAGCAGAAGTAGCATTCCTTAGCGGTTTTCTAAAAGTTGTAATTTTTAGTTAAAAAGACTCATACATTCTCGAATCTTTTGCTTCCTGGGAGATTTTTTCTGGTCTATCTTGAAAATTGAAGGAGAAATAGCATATCGACGGTGAAATTACCAAACCACGTATCTCGTTTGCGGTGTTTAAAAATCTACGCTCACATTTTATTTTTTTGAAATAGACCAAATCAATATCATTCCTTGAAATTTTCACAGAATTTTCTTCGCACGAAGAGGAAAAATCACAGAAATTCTCAAGACTGGACATTAAGTAGTTTTTCATTTAAAAAATAAAGTATGACAGGAAGTCTGCGACGTCGCAAACCGAGATACGTGGTTTGGTAGTTTCACCATCGATATGCGATGTGCGGAACTTGTAAATGCTCTCTCGTCAATTCCGCCGCTACAGAATTTTCTATCAGATCCTTGTCAACCCTCAATGGCATGAATTAATTTTAGATCTCAAATTCTAAGGGACACTAATCTATTTTGTAGCTTGTATAAAAAAAAAATAGAGTACCAAATTTTTTTTCAAAATTTTAAAATTATAAGGGGATCGGTTTTTTAAAAAAAGAAAAAACTAATGCAATTTTGCAAAATAATGGCACAGGGGTAAGATTCAATTTTTAAAAACCCCGAAAATACGTCGTTACGAATTCGTAACGCTAAGCCATAGAGGGTTAAAAACGAACATGTTGATACCATATTGGTCGATGTTGGTTCAAAAGTATACCCGCTACGGAAATTCAGTCTCTCAAAATAAATTTGGGTCACTTTATTTTGTCTCGGAGACATATTTGTCATTTTTTTCTTTTTTTGACATTTTTGAACCATTTTATTAGGATGGAGCTCATATTCAATACAATTCCTATAAAATTTATCTCAAAACTAATCACCAGATTGGGTCCTTGACATTTTTTGAAGAGGGCCAAGCAGAATTTTTTTTTTTGGGGGGGGGGGGCACCCGGTTCTCCTTATTCCCGCCCATGCTTATACCTACATACAAAGATGGCAAAAAGTACCTACACAAGAAAATTAAAAAAGATTTCGTGCAATTTTCAGAAATTCTAAAAATTTAAGACCTTTGGGGAAAGTACCAGCAAAGACTTCAATATCAACTTTCTCAGATCGAACTTGTAAATATTCATGGGTTGGAATATATCCTCTGAAATAAATTAAAAATACCGCTCTGCAATTGCGGCATTTTTCGGTAAAAGGGCGTTTTCCCTCTCCCCTGTTATTTTTCTCAGCCGCCCCCCCCCCCCCCCCCCCCCTACATCAACGGTGAAACTTTATAAATGCGTAAGTATCTCGACTTTTCGAACATGGATCATGGCTCGAAGTTTTCACAGCAAATCTTTTACAGAGAGAAGAAAAATTAGCGAAATTTTCAAAAAATGACAAGTCAGTAATTTTCCAAGCACCTAGAAAATAAAGTATGACAGGAAGTCTACAACGTCTCAAACGAAGATAGGTACGCTTTCTTGCTTCTGCAGTCTATCGGAACGGGATGCAGAAGTTTCAGCATGATTGATTTTTGCTTTCATAATCTGGCGGCTCGGCCGAAAAGGTTTTTGTGGAGTGGAAAGTGAAAAGAGAATGCGAAAAGGGTTCGTAGGGTCTGGGCGGGGATGGGTGAATTGACCGGACGTATCTCTACCTGAAATCGAGCGGTACGCGCTTATCAGTTCTCGAAGGAAAAGAAAACCCGAAAGCAAAAGTCAGGAACTTCGAACAGGAGACAGTCTGTTACAGACACCCTCGCGCGAGCCAATCAGAATCAGTGTTGATCGAAGGACGCTACTCCGGCCCCCCACACCTCAGGCTACGATCATCACCTACCGCGACAGATTTTCGGCAGCAGTCGTTCAAGTCGGTTGCACTGTCTCGCGGTCGGTCGGAGTGAGTCCCTCGTGGTTGCAAGTGATTCTCCTCTTATTAAAAGTTTTAAGCCTCCTAGAACTCTTTTAACATGTCTCGTTACCTCGTCTGTTATGCCTTAACTCTTCGGTGTGTGTAAAACTGATCGTGTGAAGTAATTAGTTTCTTGAATCGAGTCCTTCATTTCCTCGAAGGAACTTTTGCCCGGCGTTTGAGCAAATTGAATGAAGGTTACGGTTCCCCACAGTTTCCATCGATCTCTCGTCGTTTCATACCGTTTCGCTATATTCGGTTTTTATTTTCGCAGTGCGTGTCTTTTGGTACCTCGTGTGTTTCGCGAAAACTTTTCGGCGATGTATGAAAACGATCGCGTGTGTTCGGGTGCCTAAATTGTCTCTTGGATTGCACGATGGCCGCGCGCCTCCTATGATTCCTCCTGTTTCACGAATTTTACTAACTCATGTCCGGCGTGTGAGTAAATCGAACGTAGGTAATTGATACCTACCCGAAATTTTCACCGAATTTTGCTTCCATTGTTTCGGGTGAACCCATGTGAACTTCTCCATTTTACCTCGCGAGGAATTTTCTGCCCTGCTCAGTGACTTTTTGAGCAGCATTCGGGACTCCGAGTAATGTGACGTTCGTTCCGGTTTGTTCCTCGTGTGTCGGTGTGTGCGTGTGTGTATTTGCCTCGCGTTTTAAGTGTATCTGTGTCTATTTCTCAATCTAATGCGAACAATTTCATTCATAATTGCTACCCACGATTTGATGGAGTCGGATTTCTGGTCATATAGCTTCCTTTGACGCGTGTTTATTTTGGCGATGGTCTGGATTCAGGTTTGACTTACACGAACTTATCGTGCTTAGATTCTGCTCAGATTTGGTGTCATGTTTGCAAAATTGTACTTGACTCATATGTCACTTATGTTCTTGTCTTCTTCCACTCCTCTTTTTTCCAACCTGACTTATGTATTTCCTCTCATTGTGCTTCACTTTTACAGTAGGTATATCTTCCCGTCAAAGCCGAGAGCAAGTAGGTTCATACGAAGCCGTCATGTTCCCTAGTTACTTATCCTCCTTCCTTACTAGGCAACAGTCGTTAATTCTTCTTTTCTAGGCCAGCAGATTGTCTTGCATAGTGCATTAAGCATACAGACATTTGTATAACTACTGAGGAAATCATCTACTGGTGTTTGAGTCAAAAACAATTAAACGAATTATTCACAGAAATTATCTGCCGAAATTATCCATCTTCCGAAAGTAGACTCATTATTTGCCTCGCGTTTTAAGTGTATCTGTGTCTATTTCTCAATCTAATGCGAACAATTTCATTCATAATTGCTACCCACGATTTGATGGAGTCGGATTATTTAAAGCACCTCCTTTTTCCCATCTCTTTGAGCCGAAAGGGTTATTGCTATAATCTGATTAAATCACTCGAAAATTCCAGCAACAATGGGCCAGGCTTGCAAGAGCGAACCGTAGGTATTCGTATGAGAATGAGTGCTTTCCAGACTCCTACTTAAATTGCCGTGAGTCTGTTAACACTCTCAATTTTACAAGTGGATATTTTTCAGGTTTTCATTTACTTATTGTAGCCTAATCTTAGTCTGTAACAGTGTTTTTGAGACCAGAGTCACCATGATAAGTTTCATATGTGCTCAATTCTTGATTTTCGAATCCTTTCCCCCTCTCCTTTGCCATCTCATGCCTTCACATTATTTCCTCGAAACCTATAAATGGCCTAATGGCTATAATGGATGTTTTAATTAAAAGTTTCAAGTAGGTTTTCCAGGCGCCTGTAATTAATATGTGCGTAACCCCTCCCCTAGAATATAGGGCTATATCATGTTTTCTTCCCAGATAATTTGCACAAGTAATTGAATTTTGAAAGTAGCTTCATATCTAACTGGTTTATATTTTCTCATTTCATCACGTTTGAAGACAGGTAAAAGTTTGAGATGATTGTTCCAATCATCACCGGTAGAGTTAGGTAATCCCTGGGTTTTCTTTTACTTTTACTCGAAGCCAAGTTGAGCGTCCTCAATCGTCGACTAGGCCCATCAGATAAAATTGAAGATTGAAGAATCAGGATAAATGAGAGAGAGAAGAATAAGGATAAACGAGAGAGATAAGAATAAGGATAAATGAAAGAGAGAAGAATAAGGATAAATGAAAGAGAGAAGAATAAAGATAAATGAAAGAGAGAGAGATCAAACATCCACGTCCCTTGAAAGTCCCAAGAACCTTAAGTTTGCTTCCGGCCTATGGCTTGAGAGGAGAAAAAAATGCTTCTCCTAGAAATTCAAAATTCCAAGATTTCCCGGCGCAGACCCCCCGAAAACTCCCTTGAATTGTGCTGGAAAGACTCAGGTCCGTAGAAAATGCCCCCCCCCCCCCCCCCCCCCC